TTAGCCGAAACAATCCTCTTAGCCTCTACGTGCGGGATGTTCTCGTAAGCGGCTAGATTTATAGCCTCCTTATATCTCTGTATGATAGGGCATTCAAACGAGGTAGTCAAATGTTCACCGCCGCAGTTAATGCACTTTGGCAGCAGTCTTCACAGTCAACAGATCTGTCGTGATCTTTTCCACAGTAGAGACATCACAGTAGAGGGTTTAGAACTCTTGCAGTCCTTGTCAATGTGACCTGCTCTATAGCACACATAACAGATTCTAGCTTTCGGTACATATGGCTCAACCGCGTATATAGCATTAAATACGGAAATTTCCCTAGACAGCGATTGGCCTGCAAACTTAATGCAGATGGTCCTAGAAGGAGAATAATTAACTTGTCCATTAGTGGATATACGACGATTAAGTTTTTGAACTTCTAGAATTTTAATCGATGAGCGGATGTTATTTTTAATACATTCAGTGGTCAGAGATTGATCAATGCTTTTAATTATACCAGTTCTAAGAACTTTGTAGGATGGAATAAAAATTCTGATTTCATATTTAGCAAAGGCCTCACTGGCAACCAATTGATTTGCTGCCTGCCCTGACCTAACCTCAACAATGGCCTTCCCACTGCCCAAACGTTTGATACCTAATATGTCCGCGCTAGCAATCTCTGAGACAATTTTTGATAAAACTGAGAAGTGGATAACAGAGGATTTATCTGAGTATGCATAAACAGTGAAAGGGCCAGTATCAGATTCTGTATATAAATAATAAACCTTGTGAGGTACTATCTGTCTAGAGTGTGATGAGCTGGTTTCGCCAGCATCAATATCAGAGTGGGCAGAGCTCACGGTATTGTCCGCTGTCTTTCTTCTTCTTCTTTAATTAATGGCTTCCGTCTCCAAATAACAATAGAAGGTCGATACGGCCAGATCCCGTCACTGATAAGTGTCCTTGTATAGTAGATAATACGATATATAGTGAGTAAAGTAAAAGTTTTCTATGCCAACTAGGGCGCCCGTAGTGGAGCAGAGTGTTCCAACCGAGTCGATACGCGACCGAGTGCCATATGTCAAGCGGAGCGGGAAGCTTCGCTAGGATGGGAGGGGAGAGGCAGAGGCAGGGCAGAACCACTGCGCCGGTCGCGGGAAGGCGCCAAAGAACGAACTCAGAAATGCCTGCTACAAGTTTTACTGAAGTTAAGAATAAGTCGACAAAGGCAATCTGAAGGGTTAGCGATAGCATGCGAGAATTTAACTAGTTTATCCTCATTATTAGAGATGCGGTCAACAATGCGTCGTAAATATCGTGCTTGGACATAAGTATCAGGGCACTCATAAATAAGATGAATAATATCTTATCGCGGTGAACCGCACGGACACGAAGGGTCATCGACCAGATTTTTACGATATAGACTAAAGTTAAGGTTATAGTGGTCTGAGCGCAAGCGGTTGATCATGACAATGACTTCTCTGGAAATTTTTTTGCGAAAATACGAAGGTTTAGACGATTTGAGAAAAATGTAGGAAAAAAAATAAGTGCCTTTTATGTCCGCCGTGTCGATAAAAATCGTCAGTAATTCGTTGCTTAATAACTGCACAAAGATCCGAATAAGGCACTTTAAAGTTCGGCTCAATGCCCTGTCGTATCGCCCTCTTAGCTAGTTGATCGGCTTTTTCGTTGCCGGCAATGCCTCTGTGAGAAGGAACCCATATAAATTGAATCCGCATACCACTGGTCTCCGTCTCCTCGAGTCCCGCCTTAATAAGGGGTATGAGATTTTGTTAGTGCAATTGCGAGAACCCTTAATAGCTTCAAGCACACTTTTGGAGTCGGTGACAATGGCAGCTTTGTGTAAGCGGAGATCTATAGATATAGTTAGAGCGTTGTAAATGGCATAAGCCTCCGCCGAAAAAACGGAAGTGTAAGATGAGAGCTTATACATAAGTTCAACCTGCAACTGGGGGGAGAAAACGGCCGCCCCCACGTATGCACTGTGATCGACCTTGGAGCCATCGGTGTAAAACACCATGGACTCATCAGTAAGGTACGAAAATTCCTGTTTAAACATGGACTGCACAGACAGATTAGAAAGGAGATCAAGGGTTTCAGGAGGAGGTAGAGATAAGGAAGCATAAGAGATAGGTAGCGAAATAGAATAAAAAGAATGTCGAAAGCTAGGTAAAATAAATGAGCAGTCAATGATACTGTGGAAGGACCAGATGTGAAGAAAAACAAGCGCAGCTGGGAAATGGGTACGCAGATAGTCCAATCTATTAGTGGTAATAGCTAAATCGCAGAGTTCGTGCAGCCTAAGTACAGCAGGGTGATCCTGCACTGAGCTAATTTTCATGAAATATCGAGAGGCAAGGAGGCGAAATCTAAATTGGAGCGGAAGCTCGACGGCCTTCGCATAGACGACGTTCAAGGGAGTGGAAATACGATAGCCAAAGCAAAGACGGAGAGCTTGAGTTTTGTAGATCTGGAGAGCGCGTAGCTGATCATTTTTCGTGAATCCGAAGATATGAGCGGAGTATTCTATTGAGGCGCGCAGCACGGACCTATAGATGGTTAGAAGCATATGGGGGTGAGCCCCCCACCAGGTACCTCTAAGAACAGAAATGATCTGCAGAATGCGTTTGCCTTTATTATTAATATAGGACATATGTGCTCTGCCAGAAAGCTTAGGGTTGAGTAAAACCCCGAGGAAACGAACGGAAGAAGAAGCTAGAATGCGATGGTCCTGGTATGAAATATAGTAATTAGGCAGGATTGTCGGCCTCTAAGTGGAGAAAACTATCAGTTAAGTTTTTTGCAATGAAATCTCCAAGCCGCGGGCGCCCAGGAATGCACTAAGGCCGTGAAGAGATTGTTCTATTGATTGGATGGCTAACATTGTATCCTTTACAGAGGAGAAAATGACAATATCGTCAGCAAATTGAAGAAGTTCTGTAGAGGGATGGAGTACATCGTTGACCTTCCGAAGGTAAAGGTTAAACAACGTTGGACTAAGAACGGAACCTTGAGGGGTGCCCTTATAAGAGGATCTAGGATCGGAAATCGTACCCTGATTAATGAACTGTATAGTGTGGTGTGAAATAAGGTTGGAGACGAAAGAGAGTGTGAGGGGGGGAAAGTCTAAGCATAGGAGATCCTGGAGGAGGATGTGAGGGAGAACGTTATCAAAGGCAAATTTGATGTCGATAAACAAGGCCACCGTGTCCTGTTTTGCAAGGATGTGTACGCTGGCAACGAGAGCAGTAAGGTTATCCTGACAGGATCTAAACTTACGAAATCCAAATTTGTTGTTCGGTAAGAGGTCCGAAAGGGGGGACTCGATGAGCCAGTAGAGACGATTAAGTAACATTTTCTCCATGACTTTAAGCATACAGGATGTGAGAGAGATTGGCCGGACACAGCTATTATTGGGTTTAGGAATACTAGAGAGTGGGATCACTGGGTAGGATAAAGTAGGAAGTTCAGAAGGAAAAGCTTTGAGTAAGCGGTAATCTATCCTATCCAGGCCCGGACTGGATGAGGGATTTGACAGATTGGAGAGCTAGATGAAGTTCATTCATAGAGAAAGGAGAGTCAAGCCAGGAAAGTTCACCATTATAAACCAGGGGGATCTCAGGAAGAGGGGGTGGACAGTAAGGGGGACAAAGCTTGTCAATAGCGTCTTGTATCATTGCTGAATTCTCAGAGTTTCTATTGAGAGAGGTAGAATTAGCCGGAATAAGGCGGCGATTTCGAAAACGTTTAAGCATGCGCCAAATTTCCGCAGTGGGGGTCATACAGTCAAGGGAGCCGCAGAAGGCTTTCCAGCTATTATGTTTAGCTCTGCGAAGGATCTTGCGACTCTGACATACCACAGAACGGTAGTATATATAATTATCAAAAGAAGGATCACGCTTAAAAAGTTTAAGAGCATTGGCACGGGTCTTGACCGCCTCGGAACATTCGGGCGTCCACCAGGAAGCGGGGGGGG